TTCTAGGATTTGTGTACACAATCATGGTTTGGAACATAAACAATCTTGTTTCTATGCTAGAAGATCTTTATGGGGTTAATGTAAGAATAATTGTAGCCTACATGATATTATTAATTAATTATTAATACCCATTGGCTACGAGAATGTGCAACTCTTATGAAAAGATGCGACTCTTATGAAGATAAAATGTGCTTTAATGGAAGGCACTTATTGAAGGCATCTATTGATAGTTTATATGAAGAGTCTGGTCCTTTGTCCACCCAAAAGAACGAAAGGTTGTATGCTATCTTCTATCAGCTAAAACACTTTAGGACTAAAGTGGGTTAAGGGAGAGAAATTGGATTTCTTCATTTCTCCAATTTCTGCAACAATCATTTTCTCAAAGTTATTGCTATGGATAGATATATGTTTTCATCCATCTTGTCGTGAATAAATTATGAAGATATAAGATTTTTTTTAATATAGAATTTCCACATAAAGAATTACATTATTGCTTATGGTTGGTATCAAAGCATGATTTAGGATCTCATGATTTTTCAATTACTAAAAAATTAATATGGTTTCATTAATGATCTCACATTAATGATTGTTAAGGATATATATACATTGAATTGATTAATACGAATACTTACTTAATGAAATCACACTTAAATTATTGTTTGGGTATAGTGCTCTTGGTATATATATATATTTTCATGGTCTCTAGCACCTTAATTGTTCTGCTATATGTATTCATATATTTATATATGAATTGATATATATACTTAAGGGATCATAATGTATAATTTGATTCTTATACCTTTATGACGATTTTATCACGAAAGTGGTTAAATCTTAACATTTAGAGATAATCAAATTGTGAAACAATTATTGTATAATTTGATTCTTATGCCTTAATGAAGAATTTGTTAGTCACCTAAGTGGCTGAACCTTAAGGTCTCTAGATTTTTGAAATTTTATAATGTTTTATTCAATTACCCATGATTAACGGATGTTATGACTGCAATTGATAGGTTACATTTCTATGTATTTATTGAGCAAGGTTCCTAGTAAGACAGTTCCAAATACTCCCTTTGAAATGATCAAACACTCTATAATGAAAATGTAAATATTGAACCTATAGTAATTGAGCCATAAGAAATAGCATTAAGAAGATCTCAAAGAAAAAATTGGTTAGCTATTTCTAATTACTATGTAGTTTATCTACAAGAGTCAAAAATTGACTTAGGAATTGATGATGATCCAGATTTATTTTCACAAGCCATGAAATGTGATGATTCTACTAAATGGTTTGATGCCGTGGAAGAAGAGTTGAAATCTATAAATCAAAATCAAGTCTGGGATCTTGTTGAATTGCCTGAAGGATGTAAAAAGGTCAGGTGTAAATGGGTTTTTAGTACCAACCACGGCTCAAAAGGTGATATCAAAAGGTGTCAGGCCGGAACTATTGCTAAAGGTTTTACTAGAAAAGAAGGCATTGATTATAAGGAAACTTTTTCACTAATATCCAAGAAAGACTCACTTAAAATCATTATGGCTTTAGTGGCTCATTAAGATTTAGAGTGGCACCAAATGGATGTCAAAACTGCATTTCTTAATGGGAATATAGATGAAGAGATTTATATGGACCAACTTGAGGGTTTTTTAGTTAAAAGAAAGGAACACATGGTGTGTTAAAGAAGTCCATATATTAACTTAAACAAGCTTCCCGACAATGGTATCTTAAGTTTAATGATACCATAACTTCTTTTGGATTTAAGGAAAAAACTGTTGATCCGTGTATATATATGAAGGCCAATGGGAGCAAGTTTAATTTTCTAGTCTCTATGTTGATGACAATTTGAATGAAACCAAGAAATTTCTCTCTAAAATTTTTGAAATGAAAGATATGGGAGGGGCAACGTATATGATCGGAATATCAGTGATAGATCACAAGGATTGTTAGGGTTATCCTAGAAAGTTTACATTAATAAAATTTTAGAGAGATTCAATATGGATAAATGTTCAGCAGGAGTAGTTCCAATTCAAAAAGGGGATAAATTTAGCCTTACGCAATGCCCGAAAAATGAATTGGAACAAGAGCAAATGAAAAGTATCCGTACTGCATATGTGGTTGGGAGCTTAATGTATGCCCAAATTTGCACAAAACCATACATCAGTTTTGCTATCGGAATGACGAGTAAGTATCAAAGTAACCTAGGATTGGATCATTGGAAAGCTGCAAAGAAAATTCTCAAATACTTGTAAGAAATGAAGAATTATATGCTTGCTTATGAAAGATCTGATCATCTTGAGGTGCTTAGATATAGAGATTTAGACTTAGTCAAATTTGCCGATACAAGAAAATCAACTTTTTGCTACTTGTTCCTTTTTGCTAGAAGGGTAATTTTATGGAAAAGTGCGAAGCTGTCAGTCATTGTTGCATCCACTATGGAGGCTGAGTTTGTGGCATGCTTTGAGGCTACTATTCGTGAGTTATGGCTGCGAAACTACATTTCAGGGTTTGTGATTGTCAACGGTATTGCCAGGCCACTGAAACTTTATTGTTATAACTCTGCAGCAGTTTTCTTTTCTAAGAACGACAAGTATTCTAAGGGTGCTAAACATATAGAAATTAAATACGTGTCTGTTGAAGAAGAAGTTCAGAAACATAGAGCGTCAATTGAGCACATTAGCATCAGCCTTACAATCGCAGATCCCTTAACAAAAGGACTGCTGCCCAAAATATTTAATGAACATGTTGAAAGGATGTGCATTATTGGACTTCATTAGTGATATTGTATTATGATTCCATTAGGTCCATTTATTTGACACTCCAAGTTCATTTACGTGTTTATGAAATTTCTTGTTTTCTATTTAGTATACATGATGAAAATAGATGAATGTTTAACAGCATGGTCTTTAACAAAGACGTTGTAGTTGGACCATTGCTATACTTATCATTTATGGATCATGTTAAGTAGAGACATTATACTACATGGAAGGGACTATGTCGATTAATGACATATAACTGCGATGACTCACATTAGTTTTCTTTACTTATTTGTGATTATTATGTGATAGACAATTTTAAAAAGGCTTTAGCATAATGTTATTGTGCACATTATGGTCTTTATTAAATCATGAAAGAAATGTCATATGAGCCAAGTGGGAGAATGCAAGAATAATTATGGCCCACATGATATTATTAATTAATGATTTAATAATTGTTTAAATGCTAACCTATTGGATATGAAAATGTGCAACTCTTATGAAAAGATGTGATTATTATGAATATAGAATGTGCTTTGATGAAAAGCACCTATTGAAGACACTTAATGAAGGACCTATTGATAGCCTATATACAGAGTTTGGTCCTCTCTCCATCCAAAACAATAAAATGTTGTATTCTATCCATCATCAGATAAAATACTTTAAGACTAAAGTAGGTTAAGGGGAAGAAATCAGATTTTCTTCATTTATCCTATTTCTGCAATAATCATTTTCTCAAAGTTATTGTTATAGATAAATGTATGTCTTCATCCCTCTTATTGTGAATAAATCATGAAGATCTAAGATTCTTTAATTTAGAATTTTCTAAAAAAGATTTACATTATTGCTTACATAACGCCATAACAAAGAGTAATGCTTTGATTAGGCATAACATCGGGACCGTGGTATTGGTCTTCTTAGTGCTTGTTTGCTTCTATCTGGCGCTGTAGCTACATGTTCAACTCTTCGTTGTGCTTAATGTTGCGAGAGAAACAGTGCTTCAAACAGGAATTGGAGTGACATGCTTGTTTGCTTCTATCTGGCGCTGCAGCTACATGTTCAACTCTTCATTGTGCTTAATGTTGCGAGAGAAATAGTGCTTCAAATCGGAATTGGAGTGACATGCTTCTTGTTGATGTCAATGGTGATTCTCTTTGGACACGTCGCCGAGACGGCGATGTACTTTGTCTGCAAGTTCGATATGAGCCTCCATGAGAATGTTGACAAATTCTTGGCTGAGCATCTCCAGGCGTATCTAGGAGTGTACGTGCCTTTGAAGATTAAGGGTGAAATAGATATTGTATAGACCTTGTATTTAGTTGTACTTTGCAGGAAAAATTCAGTGAGAGTTAGTCCAATTAAGTGTATTATTGATTGATGATTTGTATCGAATGCTACATTTGTAACTGGGTCTCCTTTTAATATATTTTACATATTAAATCTTCACGAGTTTGTTATACATGGACACGTATGTCTGCACACGTATCCATGCATATGCTTTGAGCAATCCATTGACTTTTCAACCGTGTCTCTTTTGCCATATCATCATCGTAATTTTTTTACAATAACAATAAGTCGTCACCAAAAAGTATAGGCATGCATGGGATTGGTCTATGTATCTTTCATGATCCAATGGCTAGCGTTACGATACGTCTAATCAACTGATTTTTGGTTTATCAAGTCATTTTAGGAGGAACGTGACAGGAGTTCAATCTCGACAAACACTTGTTCCTTGAGATTGACTTTGTTACCTTCGCTTGCAGGATTTGCCGTTTCTCTTCCCAAATAGCAATGCATAGCCTACTTTGTTTTTTCCCCAAAGTTGCACACTTACGTTACAATTGTTGGATGTATGTAGTCCCAATGAATTAAATCGTCTCTTCTAAACTCAATTGACATTAAACTCAAAGTGCTAATCTCTTCCATATATCATAACACAAAACACAAATGAAAAAGACGTATGTGAAGATCCAAGCCAATTTATCCCCTAAATTGATTGGAAACTAATATTGATATCCCGATAACTGTAGTTAAAATAATAGAAAGAGAATGTCGTTAGCATGATAATTACATTATATTAAAATAATAATTGCTTTGTTTTGTATGCATTAATTCCTTTCTTTTTCTCTATGAGTACAGTACTCTCATGTATATATAAGTTCACTTGGACAATTAACCAAGGCCTAAAAACTGTGTTCTATGTTTAACGCCCTCAGTCTCGAAGCTCCCCAAATTTCAGAAATTAGAAGATGGAGGACATGCAATATCTTGGTTTCTTTGGCATCATCAAGGAATCCATCAAGATCATCTTCACATGGAGGAAGATCTTAAGCCAAATCTCGCTTGCCCTCCTCTCTCTTTCCTTCATCATCTCAGCTTTCAGCGAGATTTCTCACTTCCTTATGGCAAAGATCCACCACGACCAGCGTGCACTTAACCACACCAAAGCCGACACTCTCAACTTCAATAAGCTCTCCAACCTGGCGACCTCGGACATAATTGAGCTCTGTCTCTTTACGGTCGCCTCCTACGTCCGAAAACTAATCGTTTCTCTTCTTTACACGTCCACAGTTGTGTACACTATCGCGTGCGTGTACACCTCGAGATCCATCACTTTTAAGAGAGTGATGAGCGTCGTCCCAAAGGTGTGGAAGAGGCTCATGATCACACTCTTATGGAGTTTTCTTGCTCTCTTCATCTACATCGTCAACATCGTCGTGACTATCCTAGTCTGCTATCTCTTGTTTGATCTTATTCACTCTCCTGCCATTGGACTAATCCTGGGGTTCATCCTCCTCATCTTGTTCCTCTTTGGGTTGGTGTATATCAGTGTCATTTTGGACTTGGCAGGTGTGATTTCAGTGCTAGAGGACATCTATGGTCTTCAGGCCGTGTTCAAGAGCAAGAACCTGATCAAGGGAAAAACGAGGATTTCAATAGCTATCAAACTCTTGCTAACAATTGGGTCCATGGCATTCGGTGTAGTGTTCGACGTCTTTATGGCCAATGGATATGGATCCGGGTTTTTAAGGTTGGGGGATGCAGTTCTTTGTTTCTTGTTTCTCCTCTTCGGCCTCATCACGCAAACCGTGATCTACTTAGTGTGCAGATCGTACCACGACGAGAACATCAACAAGTCGGCGCTGCTTTTGGCCAAATATGTTCCTCTTCAAGTTAAGGACGTATAACTAGAACAAGTCAACGTATAAATTGACATACGGTTACTGTAATGATGTAAGAGCTTGTGACCGCATCTAGTATTTTGTGACCATATACGATGATCATGAATAAGTTTTATTTGAGCAAATTTTCCATAAGCAAAAAGAAGCAAAACAAGAGGCACAGCTCTAGTTTAAACGGAATTTGCTAACTAGTTTAGTCATCTATTTAGTTCACTTAACTTTCTATGAGAGTGGTTGTTACCTTCTTGGGTTACTTGTAATTCTCAAATTCTCTTCTTGTTAATAATCTTTTACGTAGTTTTCCATTTGCCCGACTATTTTTTACCCTTTACTCTGTTTCAATCTATCTAATTAGCGCATCGTTGGCTTGTATTCATTCATGCCATTTGAGATATTTTGATGGAAGAGTAATGGTCAAAATATACCTTTTACTTTTGATGATTACCTACTCAGCACTCTCAAGTCGACCTAATTATTTTTAAATCTCTCTCGTAAAATTATGGAAACAACTATAAACTTTTCACTGTATTCTTTATTTTAGAATCAACCATCAAGCTTGAATTTACTAATTTGTTGTTACACAAATTTTATCTCCTATTAAATTAAATTCATAAAATCTAAAAGGGGATATTTTGAAAATAATGTAGAAAATTTCGACCAAAAACAAATAATGTAGAAAGTAACGTTCATGAAATCAACTTGATTTGGAATTAAAGTGAAATTTGAAAATCATCAAACTCGTAATACATTCTATCAATAAATAAATAAAAGTGACGTGTTCAATCAATTTAGTCCTATTACAAAGGTGCATAACGAATTTGTCACGCCATAGACCTTCCTCTGAATTGATGAGATAAGTTCCTATCTGAAAGTATCATTTTGTTAATAATCTATGTGAAGACCAAGATTAAGGAACTGAAAAGTCAAGCTCTCTTCTTCAAGAGAAATGACCATCATTCCTAGAAGTCCATTCCCGCTTTTCCAAACACCATCTTGAACTCTCTCTTTGAAAGAGAGGAGCAACATTAACCATGCAAACTAGAGAGCTAGAACCAAGCAATTATGGATGGAAGTATCAAGGGGATCAAATTGAATAGATATTGCCATACACTATCTCATTACTTATTTGTGGATGATGCGATTTTCTTCTTGGATGGGACTGTCGAGGAATATCAAAATTTGGTGAATCTATTGAACGAATACTCGGGCCAAACCATTAATTTAAACAAATCAGGCATCTATTTCAGTAATGGCTACCCCCAGAATCTTAGAAGAAATATGGCAAATGAGTTGAGAGTTCCGATGATTGAGAAGACAAGGAAGTATATTGGCATTCCTTCAGACTGGCCAGTCAAAGAAACAAATGTTTACATAGAACCTTGCGAGAGTCAATATGAAGTTAGAGGGGTGGAAAGAGAAATTAATGTAGAAAGTTGGTTAGGAGATTTTCATTAATACTGTGGTACAAAGCCTGCCCCAATACGCCATGTCTATTTTTAAGATTCCAATTTCTATCTATAAAGCTGTTGAACAGAAAATTGTCTCCTTTTGGTGGAAACAAAATGCATCCAAATCGGGAGTACGTTAGAAGAGATGGGAAGTTTAAAAACCAGGAAAGACAAAGGGGGACTCGACTTCAAAGACCTTGTTTCTTTTAACAAGGCCATGTTGGGTAAACGTGGAGACTGTCAGATTCCCCTTCAGCCTTATGGAGTCAGATTTTAAAAGGACTCTACTTCCCGGGAGGAGATTTGTGGAACACAAGTAAGGGTTCTCGTCCTTCTTGAGGATGGCAAAACTTGTTCATGGGAAGAGATGTGGTAAGTCTGAATGTCAAATTGGTGGTGGATGATGGGTATAGCATCGACATCCGTGAGGATAAATGGCTTTCAACTAGTTTGATTGGTGGCCTAGCAAATCAAGGTGACCCCCAACTGGTGGCGGACTTAATTAATCATGAAGCAAAGGATTGGAATGAACAAAAACTGAAAGAACTCTTTGATGAACACATTGTGCAAGAGATTTTAACTATCCCTTTGTTCCAATTTTGGAACGGATCAGCTTGTGTTGACAGGCAACAAATTTGGATCCTTCACGGTTAAAAGTGGGTGTAATAGTCTAGAGTCAACATTTAAGGAACCAAGCACAAACCAAGCATCATCATCCTATCAGCCTCCCCGCGCTCTGTGGACTATCATTTGGCAGCTTAATTCCTATTCCAAAATAAGCCACGAAAGAGAATCTCTACAAATGTAAACTGTTACCTTGACCGCTTTGCCCCTTGTGTCGACAAGCTCCGGAAACGGTGGAATACCTCTTTACCCTGTGTGAATGGACCAATGTTATCTGGTCAGGTCCGAGGCTCAACAACCGTGGACATAACCAGAATAGATAAATGGGTTTTCGAAGCGATGACCGATGGAATTAATGTACCTTCAAGAGAACTGGTTGCAGATATACCCTGGCTCGTGTGGAAAGCCCAAAACTCCTTTGTCTTTCAGGGCCGCAAGCCAATTCCCGAATCAATTGTGGATGACGCCCTCGCGATGAATAGAAGCTTCGTAATTCGGTCTCCAGCATAGAAAAAATCAGCAAAAAAAAGGGATTTTTCTCGCCGGAATTGTGGGAGCCATTGGACAAGGGGGCTACTTGAAAAAAGTAAATGTGGATGGTTCGTCGGTTGACAGTTCCTCGGAGGCTTCCATTGGAGGAATATGTCGAGATGCCCATGGAGTGATCGTCACTGGGTTCGCAAAGAAGGTGAGAGCAGCTTCGATCTTAGTCGTTGAAACCGTAGCGGCGAAAACTCTGTTCATTGGACAACCTTTTGGGTCTTCCCGGCAGCACACTGCGCAATGTCACTGGTCTTATCGCTCTTCCCGAAATCGGGGATTGTGTTCACGGTTGCATGGACTTACACTCATCCCCAGGAGATCAGATTCAAGAAAATCATGTGTGTTGTCCCAAAACTTTGGAAGAAATTAATAGTCACATTTGTTTGGGCTAGCGCTATACTACTAGCTTACCACGTTATTGCTTCTTCGACTTTGAATATGCGGGTCATCATCGAGAATACATTTCTTGCCGCTGTTCTAGTGATCTTTCTTGTTCTGGGGTTCCAAAGTTGTTTCTGTGCCGGACTATGTTTATGGGGTTAAAGCAATAACGAAGAGTAATGCTTTGATTATGCATAACACCGCGGCCGGGGTATCGATCTTCTTAGTGCTTGTTTGTTTCTATATGGAGCCGAAGCTACAGATTCAACTCTTCGTTGTGCTTGGCATTGCGAGAGAAAGAGTGATTCGAGTAGTAATTGGAGTGACATGCTTCTTGTTGATGTCAATGGCGATTCTCTTCGGACACGTCGCGGAGACGTTGATGTACTTTGTGTGCAACTTCGATATCGGCCTCCATGTGAATGTTGACAAAATCTTTCTTGGCTGAGCATGTCCAGGCTTATCTAAGAGAGCATGTGCCTTTAAAGTTTAAGGATGACAGAGAGACTGTAGTTAAAATATAGTGTGAGTTAGTCCAATTAAGTGTATTATTCAGGAAAATTATCGAAAAAATCCTAAACCTATAATATAGCAGCCAATTTAGTCCTAAAGTTTTTAATTGTGTCAATATAGGTCTAAACCTTTTGACGATTTGCCAATATAACTCTTTTCAGCCAATTTTGGCCGGAAATTGCTGACGTGGACGTTGGTTGTCCTATGTGGCATGGCTGGGGTTGACATAGACAGTTTTTTATATTTTTTTATATTTTATATTTTTCTTTCTACAGTTCAACTCCCGAAAAGGGCCGGCAAGACAAAGGCTTGGTGGCCAGATCTGGGTAGGGGCGAGGGCTCTCCCAAAGACTTCGCCGGCCATATCAGGTCGCGGGCAAGGGTGGTCGCCCATTCGCAATGGCCCTCGCTGGCCCTTTTCGGAAAGTGAATGATAAAAAGAAAAAGAAAGAAAAAGAAAAGAAAAAAGAAAAAAATATATAAAAAATTATGAGAATGTAAAAAAAAATTTTAAAAATCGTCTATGTTAGTGCCGGTCATGTCACGTAAGACGGCCAGTGTCCACGTTAACAATTTCCAGCCAAAATTGGCTAAAGCACTATATTGACAAATTATTAAAATATTTAGAACTGAATTGGCACAATTGAAATGTTGATGACCGAATTGGCTGATGTACAATTAGTTTATGACTTTTTAGATAATTATGTATGTATTATTCATTAATAATTTTATTTAATGATACATGTGTAACTGAGTTTTGTTTAAATATATTTTGCAAGTTGAAGCTTCATGACTTTATTATACATGGACACATATTTATGCACATAAATCGAATCACATGCTTTGAGGAATAAATTGACTTTAAATCATGTCTCTTTTGCCATATTATCATCACAATTTTTGCAATAATATTAGGAAGAAGTTACCTAAAAGTATAGGCATCCATGGGATTGGTCTATGTATCTTTTATGATGATACGGCTGCGTTATGATATGTCTAATTCAATAACTGTCAAGGTCATTTTAAGAAGAATTTGACCGGAGATTCAATCTAGACAAACACTTGTTTCTTTAGATTGACATTGGTACTTTCGCTTGCCGGATTTGACGCATTGCCTACTTTGTCTTTCCCCCAAAATTTGCACCCTTGAAGACGATGCAGATACTACCGAAGCGTTGACGGGGCTGGTGGATACTACCGAACTGAAGCAAAATGGTGTGTTGCACGTGGAAGTTCTGACAGATAATGAATCTGTTGTTAGATTCTCAGCTGAACCAAGCCAAAGCTCATGGACCCGGAGGAGTTTCTTTGAAGATTGTAAAGTGTTTCCTTAAGCCACTCATTCATTCAAAGTGGTACTAAACAAGTGTTGATAACAAGAGTCAAGGCATAATAAATCCCAAAGGTGTTAGGGTGGTTTAGACAACCAATTACATGGGAGCTTCTCTTTTCGTTTGGCCTTAGTGGTCTAATCTGCAACTTGATTGGCTTCTTGTGAGCAGTGGCTTAAGGAAACGCTTTTTAATTGAGCTAACAAGTCTTTACAATCCTCAAAGAAACTCCTCAGGGCCCATGGCCATTTCATTCATTCATTCATTCATTCAAAGCGGTACTAAACAAGTGTTGATAACAAGAGTCAAGGCATAATAAATCCCAAAGGTGTTAGGGTGGCTTATACAACCAATTGCATGGGAGCATCCCTTTCCGTTTGGCCTTAGCAGTCCAATCTGCAACTTGATTGGCGTCCTGTGAGCAGTGGACTTGTTTTGACCCAAAAAAAAAGACAATGCAAATATATTCCAATTTTTGGATATATATAATTAAAGGATAAATCATCTCATCTAAGAAGGGTTTTTGATCAATTGAAAGATAAACTCAAAGTGGTAATCTAAGGGAAGAGAAAATCTGCACACAAGATGTATAGTGGTTCAGTTTAGACTAAGCCTACGTCCACTCTTCCACTCTGATAGCCTAATGGATGGATTCTACTAGATGATCAATGATAGATTACAATCAAGTTGTGCCGCTTATACCCAAGCGCTTCTACCCAAAGCTGGTGCTGCTTATACCCAAGTCGATAGATCACACTATCTCACACTTAAGCACACAGTTATGACACTGTCTAAACCTCTCAATTGATTACAGCTTCAGCTCATAAAAGACAACTATATAGATCAAAGATCGCTCAAACTTTGGAATTCTAGATTCTAGACTTTGTCTCTCTTGCTTCTGCTCCTTGGCACATTGGTCTCCTTTTATACTCCTCCACTTTCAATCTAGCCGTTGAATAGTTTCTAGAGGATCGTCTTCCAATTTATCCATTGGACAGAACTGTATCAAGAAGATTGAGTAGCCGTTGGGGGACAAAATCTGAATCTCCATTGATTCTGGTCGCCCATACAACCAAAGTCTTGGTTTCATAAGTAGAGCTTCTCCGTTTAGAAAGTAACTTGTCTCGAGATCGATTTGTCAATCGTTTAAGATGTTTTGCATATTAAACCGTTGCAAAACAATCTTCAAGATTGAGTCAATCAAATCTTCATTAATATGAAATCCGAACCAGATCACTAGCTATTATTTATGTTCTAATCTTGTGTCACATTCTGGACTTGTGTCTCGTTCTGGACTTGAGTTACGTTCTAAACTTGTGTCAGGATGGGAACATAAGTAGTTCTTTGAGTCTGAACATAAGTAGTTCTTTGAAGGGAGACGAGAGTTTTTTATCTCCAGTATAAAGTCTGAATCTCTTTTACTTGAAGTAAATTCTACAATCTGAACTTGAATAAGATTAAGATTGCCATATGCTTCTCTTCCAAGAATAATTTCCTGAACAAAATACTTCAAGGTATTTTTCAGACTTACAAGAAACACATGGATAGTTTTGTTAACTTCAAAATCTATTAGAATGTTTTCTCAACACTATCAACCTCTTGCTATCGATTGGGTCCATGGCAATCCAGACGGTGTTTTACATCTTTGGGGCCCTTGGACATGGATCGGTGTTTCTAAGGTTAGGGGTTGCAATTCTCTGTTTCTTGTTTGTGTTCAAGTTGCTCCTCTTCAGCACCGTCGTGCAAACGGTGATCTACTTCTTGTGCAAGTCATACCGCCACGAGAACATTGACAAGTTGCCGCAGGCGGATCATCTCGAGGTCCATCTATTGGCCGAATACCTTCCTCCTAGGGCCAACGACGTATAACTGGAACAAGTCGACGTATAACTGGACGTTTGGATATTCTAATAATGTAAGAGCTTGGGGCTGCATCTCGTATTGTAGGACCATATATACGATTACGGAAACCACAAGAAGCAAAACAAGATGCACAGCTCTAGTTCAAACGAAATTGCTAGTATGCTACCTAGTTTAGTCTTCTATTTCGTTCACTTAGTATTCTATGAGAGTGATTATTACCTTCTTGGGTTAATTGCAACTCGCAAGTTCTCTTCTTGTTACTAATCTTTTACATAATTTTCCATGTGCCAGATTGTTTTGGCTTTTTACACTCTTTCACTTGATCTAAATCGTGCATTGTTGGTTAGTTTTCATTCATAGCCATCTGAGATAGTTCAATGGAAAAGTAATTCTCAGATATACCTTTTCACACTTACTTCTGATGATTGCCTGCTCATCACCCTTGAGCCGACCTAATTACTTTTACAGCAGGATAATTATTGGCCGGAAAGACTACATTAGCACATCATCAAATGTTTATGACTAAATTGACGAAATTAAAAAGTTTAGAACCGAATTCGTCGTCGTACAGTAAATTTAGGACTTTTTGGACAATTTTCTCTCTTGTGAAATTATGGAAACAACTATAAGCTTTTCACTAGTTTTATCATTTTAGAATCAACCGTGGAACTTTAATTCACTAATTTGTTGTTACGCAAATTTTATCTCTTATGGAGTTTAAATTCATAAAATCTATAAAGGAGACATTTTGAAAAAAAAATTATAAAAAGTAACGTTCAAGAAATCAATTTAGTTGAAAATTATATATCAAAGTTCTTTTTTTTTTCCGTGGCAAATAAATGTTATATCCGTAATTGAACAAGTACACAAATAATACAGATGCTGGAGTGAAGGGGTCTTGAGACATAACAGAAACAACATGAAGTAAAAGCCTAAGAGACCCAAATTCACAACCTAATAGAAGCTAGGGGCCATGCAGGCCCCAAACAACAATAGTCCCAGCAATTCAAACCACGGCACGTTATACGACTGATGCTTAGTAAACATTTTGGTCCGCAGTTTAGTCCTATTATATGGGCATAGAACAGATTCGTCAGAAAATTACCTAAAAAGTTTAAACATGTTGTACGGATGACAATTCAGTCATAAACCTTTCAATTTATCCAATTTAGATTTAAACCTTTTGACGATTTACCAATTTAGTCATTCCCGTCAATTTTGGCTGACAATCGCTAAAATAGACGCCGGTTGTTCTATGTGGCACCACCAACACTGACGTACACAATTTTTTGCATTTTTAAATTTTTCTCAATTTTTTTATAAAATTTTTGAATTTTTATTTTTATTTTCCTTTTTCTTTTTTTCCTTTTTCCTTCTCCGGTCGCCAGGCATCAGCAATCGACCACAGGCAACAATGAGCGAGGCTCGACCTCACCGGACAACCCTCGCTAGATCCCAACAAGGTCAAACCTCGCCAGCCTCGCTGCCCCTCGCCTGTAGCCAGTCACTGGCCATGGCAATCGACAGAGGAAAAAGAAAAAAAAGAAAAAAATTAAAAATTTATAAAAAAATTACAGAAAAATAAAAAAATGAAAAAAGATTGTTCATGTCGGCGTCGGCCATGCCATGTAAGACGGTCGGTATTCACGTCAGCGATTCCCAGTCAAAATTGTCAGAAATGACTACATTAGCAAATCGTCAAAAGGTGTCGTCTCAAGAGATCATCTTCAAGAAAATCATGGCTGTTGTCCCAAAAACTTCGGAAGAAATTAATAATCACATTTATTTGGGCTAACTCTATACTGTGAGCTTACAAATTATAGCATGCTCGACCTTTGATGCGGGCCATCCTTGAGAGAACATTTCTTTTTGCTGTTGTATTGACCTCGTACATTCTAGGGTTTGCGTACAAAATCAGGGTTTGGAACAAAGCCATTGTTGTTTCTGTGCCAGACGATGTTCACGGGGGTTAAAGCGATAACAAAGAGTAATGCTTTAATTAAGCATAACGTCGCGACCGAGGTAACGGTCTTCTTAGTCCTTGTTTGTTTCTATATGGCACCGCAGCCACCGATTCAACTCTTCGTTGTGCTCGGTGTTGCGAGAGAGAAAGAGTGCTTCGAATAGGAATGGGACGGACATCCATCTTGCTGATGTCAATGGTGATTCTCTTCGGATGAGTCGCGGAGACGGCAATGTACTTTGTCTGCAAGTTCGATGTCGGCCTCCATGAGGATATTGACAGATCTTTCTTGGCTGAGCTTCTCCAGGCGTATCTAGGAGCGTATGTGCCTTTGAAGATTTAAGGATGACATGGAAATTGTATAGACCTCATACATGAACACACATGTATGCACATAGATCCATGCACATGCTTTGAGCAATCGGTTGACTTTAAATAACGCCTCTTTGTGACGTATCATCATCATAATTTTTGTCAGTAATATTCGGATGAAGTTGGCTAAAAGTAGAGGCATCCATGGGATTGGTGAATGTATCTTTCGTGATCCAGTGGCTGACGTTATGATCCCTCTAATTAACTGATTTCTTGGTTCTCAAGGTCAATTTAAGAGGAATTTGACGGGAGATTCAGTCTAGACAAAAACTTGCTTCTTAAGAAATAAACGAGAAAGACAAACTCTTGTTTCTTTAGATTGACTTTGGTATTTATCGCTTGCAGATTTTGCCGTTTCTCTTCCCAAATAGAAATGCATAGCCTACTTTGTTTTTCCCCCCAAGGTCGCACACTTGAAGACGATCCAGACACATTCCAGTTGACGTTAAACTCAAAGTGCTAATCTCTTTGCATATCGTAGCACTAGACACAAAATGAAATATGGGTGTGAAGTTCAAGTCAATTTATTCATTAAATTGAGAGGAAACTAATATAGATATCCTGATAAATATTGTTATACATAGTAGAAAGAGAATGCCGTCAGCATGATAATTACATATTATTAAAGTATGATTGGTCTGTTTTGCATTTCTTTTTCTTTATGAATGCAGTACTCGCATGTATATATAAGTTCCTTTGGACAATTGATCAATGCCTAAAACTGTGTTCTAGTTATAACACCCTCAGTCTTGAAGCTCCCCAAATTTCAGAAATCAGAAGATGGTACGAGAGCAAGAGGAGATGCAACTTCTTGGTTTCTTTGGCATCATCAAGGAATCCACCAAGATCATCTTCACATGGAGGAAGATCTTCAGCCAAATCACGCTTGCCCTCGTCCTCCCTCTTTCCTTCATCATCTTAGCATACAGCCAGATTTCTGACTTCCTCGTGGAAAAGATCCAGCACGACCAGCATGCACTCAACCACGTCAAAGCCAACAATCCCAAATACAATCAGCTCGCCAACCTTGTGACCTCAGACATAATTGAGCTCTGTCTCTCTACGGTTGTCTACTACGTCCTTGTTCTAATCTTTTCTGTTCTTTCCACGTCCACAGTCGTGTACACTATTGCGTGCGTGTACACCTCAAGATCCATCAGTTTTGGGAGAGTGATGAGCGTCATCCCAAAGGTGTGGAAGAGGCTCATGATCACATACTTGTGGAGTTTTCTCGCTGTCTTCATCTACATCGTCTCCATCATCGTGACTATCCTAATCTGCTATCTCTTGTTTGATCTTAGCCACTCTCCTGCAATTGGTGTAACCCTTGGTTTCGTCCTCCTCATCTTATTCCTCTTTGGGTTTGTGTATATCAGTGTCATTTTGGACTTGGCAGGTGTGATTTCAGTGCTAGAGGACATCTGCGGTGTTCAGGCCATGTTCAAGAGCAAGAACCTGATCAAGGGGAAAACGGGGATTTCAATAGCTATCAACCTCTTGCTAGCGATTGGGTCCATGGCAACCCATACAATGTTCCGCATCTCTATGGCCAATGGATATGGATCAGGGTTTTTAAGGTCCGGGGTTGCAGTTCTTTGTTTCTTGTTTCTCCTCCAGTTGAGCCTCTTCGGTCTTGTCGCGCAAAGCGTCATCTACTTCGTGTGCAAGTCGTACCACCACGAGAACATCAACAAGTTGGCGCTGCTTTTGGCCGAGTACGTTCCTCTTCAAGCCGACGATGTAAAACTAGAAAAAGTCGACGTATAAACTGACCTATGGTTATTGTATTGATGTAAGAGCTTGTGGCTGCATGTTGTACTTTGTGACATATACAATGATCATGAATAAGTTCGTTCTGTTTGAGCAAATTTTCCATCGACTACGGAAGCAAAAAGAAGCAAAACATGAGGCACAGCTCTAGTTTAAACGGAATTGCTGCCTAGTTTAGTCATCTATTTAGTTCACTTAACTTTTTATGGGAGCGATCTTTTGCATAATTTTCCATGTGCCAGATTGTTTCTAACCCTTTACTCTATTTCACTTTATCTAAATAGCGCATCGTTGGCTGATTTTCATTCATTTCCTTTTGAGATATTTCAATGGAAAAGTAATTTTCAAAATATATCTTCTCACACTTACTTTCGATGATTGTCCACTCATCACCATCAAGCCGACCTAATTACTTTTACATCTCCTCGTCAAATTATGGAAACAACTATAAATTTTTCCCTGTATTTATCATTTTAGAATCAACCGTCAAGCTTTAATTTTTTAATTTATTGTTACACAAATCTCATCTCTTACTGAGTTTAAATTCATCAAATCTATAGAGGGGATGTTTTGTCAATAACGTTCATGAAATCAATTTAATTTGGAATTAAAGGGTAATTTGAAAATCCACAAACTAGTAATGCGTTCTATCAATAAATAAATAAAAGCGACTATCACTTAGCAATTAGTCATTGTTTCCATGTATTTTTTTTTTTTGTCTGTCCTACTCTAACTGTCAACTCACTCTCATACTTTTGTCCTATCTCCTTGCAAGGCGTAGAGAGTCGAAACTCAAATTTGAAACTAAATGTCCATACCCCTAACCCCTTGAGAAGGTGGGGAATCAAACTCTCCACCTCTCTCTTTCCTTGACCACTGGGGTAAATCCCAATGGTTATTGTTCCATGTGTTAATTAGCTTTTCTATAGCAAAGTTCTATTTTCGCGGCAAATAAAGATTATATTCGTAATTGAACAAGAACACAAATGGTACGGATACAGGAGTGAAGGGCTCTTGAAACATAACAAAAACAACATGAAGTAAATGCCAAAGAGGCACAATTCCAATGGTCTTATTGCCTTCTAAATTTGGATCGCAGCGGCGAAAACTCTGATCATTGGACAACCTTTTGGGCTTTCACGGTAGCTTAGTATGCAATTCCATTGGTCTTATCGCTCCTTAGAAATCGCCGATTGTGTTCACGGTTGCATGGTTGACCTTTTAATGCGGGCTATCCTTGAGAATACATTTCTTTTAGCTGCTGTATTTGATTTTGTACATTCTAGGGTTTGTGGTCAAAATCAGGGTTTGGATCAAAGCAGTTGTTGTTTCTATGCTAGAAATGTTTATGGGATTAAAGCCATGACCAAGAGTAATGCTTTGATTAAGCACAACATCGGGACCGTGGTTTCGGTCTTCTTAATGCTTGTTTGTTTCTTTATGGTGCCGTAGCTACAGATTCAACTCTTCATTATCCTTTGTTAGCAATATTGGGATATTTGCTTATATCTCACAGGATTATGCATAAATCTCATTTGATTGTGCATATCTTTGATCGATTATATTTGGTATTTATTACTGTTTATCTTATTAACTTAAATAATCATCCAATAAAGCCTATAAACAGGCTCAGGCTCATGTACTATTTATCGAAATATACAAACAAGAATTTCATAATTTTTCTCTTCAGCATTATTTTTAACTTAGCTTTATATCAGAAGAGAAAGAGTGCTTCAAATAATAACTGGAGTGACATGCTTCTTGTTGATGTCAATGGTAATTCTCTTCGGACACGTCGCCGAGACGGCGATGTTCTTTGTCTGCAAGTTCGATGTCAGCCTCCATGAGAATGTTGTCAGATCTTTCTTGGCTGAGCATCTCCCGGCGTATCTAGGAGCGTATGTGCCTTAGAAGATCAAGGATGACATAGAGATTGTATAGACCTCATAATTAATTGAACTTCGTAGGAAAAATTCAGTGTGAGTTGGTCCAATCAAGTTTACAATTCGTTGATGATTTGTGTTGAATGCAACACGTGTAACTGCGTTTTGTTCAAACATATTCTACAGGTTAAATCAATTCATGATCTTATTATACATGAACACATATGCATGCACATAGATCCATGCGCATGCTTTGAACGATCGAATGACTTTTAAATCATGTCTCTTTCGCCATGACATCATCATAATTTTTTTCAATATTATTACGAAGAAGTTACCTAAAATGTATAGGCATTCATGGGATTGGTCTATGTATCTTTCATGATCCAATGGCTGACGTTTTGATACGTCTAATCGACTGATTTCTTGGTTATCAAAGGTCATTCCAAGAGGCACTTGATCGGACAAACGCTTGTTGTTTTAGATTGACTTTGGTACCTACGCTTGCAGGATTTGACGCATAGCCTACTTTGTCAAAATTCGCACACATGAAGACGATGCAGATATCTTCCAATTCTTGGACATATGTAGATCCAATTATTTAAATGATAAATCCTCTCTTCTAAGAAGGGTTAATGTTCAATCGAAAGATAAACTCAAAGTGCTAATCTCTTCCAAATATCATAACACGAGACACTAAAAGAAATAAATGGATGTGAAAATTTAAGCAGTTTATTCCTTAAATTGATAGGAAATTAATGCTGATGTCACGATATGTATAGTTAAACATAGTAGAAAGAGAAGGCCGCCAGCATGATAATTACATTATATTAAAGTATGGTTGGTTTGTTTTGTATGCCTTAAATTATTTCCCTTTCTTTATTGACGAAGTACTCTCATGTATATATAAGTTCACTAGGACAAATAATCAATGCCTAAAATCTGTGTTCTACTTGTAACACCCTCAGTCTTGAAGCTCCACGAGTTTCAGCAATTAGAAGATGGATCGAGAGCAAGAGGAGATGCAGTTTCTGGGTTTCTTTGGCATCATCAAGGAGTCCATCAAGATCATCTTCACATGGCGGAAGATCTTCAGCCAAATCACACTAGCCCTCATCCTCCCTCTTTCCTTCATCTTCTTAGCTCACATCGAGATTTCCGACTTGCTCTTCGGAAAGATCGGCCACGACGAGCACGAACTTGAACATGCCAAAGCCGACTCTCCCAAATACAATAAGCTCTCCGACCACGTGACTACGGACATAATCGAGCTCTGGCTCTTTAGGGTCGTCTACTTCGTGCTGTATTTTATCTTCTCTCTTCTTTCCACGTCCGCAGTCGTGTACACGATCGCGTGCGTGTACACCTCAAAACCAATCGCTTTCGGGAGTGTGATGAGCGTCGTCCCGAAGGTGTGGAAGAGGCTCATGATCACATTCTTATGGAGTTTTCTTGCCGTCTTCGCCTACAACGTCGTGACTTTTCTGGTCTTCTATCTCTTGGTTGTTCTTATCGACTCTGCAGTCATTGTAATTGCCCTATTTTTCATCCTCCTCATCTTATATTTCTCTGGGTTAGCGTATATCACTGTCATTTGGCACTTGGCTGGTGTGATTTCAGTGCTAGAGGACATCTATGGTATTCAGGCCATGTTCAAGAGCAAGAACCTGATCAAGGGCAAACTGGGGGTCTCAATAGCTATCATCCTCTTGCTACCGATCGGGTCCGCGGTGATCCAAACAGTGTTCAACATCTTTGTGGCCTATGGATCTGGATCAGGGTTTGTAAGGTTAGGGGCCGCGATTCTGTGTTTCCTGCTTCTGCTCAAGTTGATCCTCTTCGGCCTCGTCGTGCAAACCGTGATCTACTTCGTGTGCAAGTCGTACCACCACGAGAACATCAACAAGTCGGCCCTCGCGGATCATCTCGAGGTCTATCTTTTGGCCGAATACGTCCCTCTCAAATCTCAGGACTTACAACTAGAACGAGTCGACGTATAACTTGACCTGCAGGTATTGTAATAATGGAAGAGGTTGTGGCTGCATCTTGTACTGTATGATGTATAAGTTAAGGTATATTTGAGCAAATTTTCCATTGGTCGCGGAAACAGAAGCAACACGAGAGGCTCACCTCTGCTTTAAACGTAATTGCTACCTAGTTCAGTCATCCATTTAGTTCATCTAATTTTCCATGAGAGTGATTATTACAATCTTGAGTTATGCGGAATTCGCGAGTTCTCTTTAAATAATTTGTTTGTGTCAGATTGTTTTTGGCCCTTTACTCAATTGATACAAATAGTCTCTAAACTTTACCCTAATGTGTAATGTCGTCCATGAACTTTTAATTTGTCCAATGTGATTAGCTCAATATGCTATTTTGTCCCTAAACTTTTGGTGCACGTTCAATTTAAACTCTGAATTATATGAAAATGTTTTATGTCATCGTTCCATCAATTCAAGTTCAGGGAAAATATTGGATATTTTCATATTGTCTAGGGACTAAATTTGGACGTGTACCAAAAGTTCAGAGATTACGTCAAACAAATTAAAAATCCGGGAACAATATCGCGCATTAGACTAAAATTCAGGAATCATATTGAAAAAATTAAAAATTCAAGGATAACATTTCACACATTTGGGCCAAAATGGAGGATCATTTGTGTAATTATCACTTCCCCTAAATCACTTTACTTAAATAGGGCATGATCGGCCAGCTTCCATTCATTGCCTTATGAGATTGTAGTACCCTTGTCAGATGGGTAAATGGGTAAAAATTCCAATAATTTCCCTTGAAGAATGTCACATTTTGATTTGCATCATTGTTTGTATCGATAGTCCGGGGATATCTCCAAAGTTGTGAACTAATTTTGTCATGTTGAGTGAAGCAATGAACATTCTTATTTATTTTATTTTTTTTTAATAATTTTGCCCCCCTTCTACAGCGATTACCCGTCCAAGACAATTATAGTGACATTTTTTTGTTTTTCTCGTGTTGATTGTCCGGCCGGAGACATCTCCAAAGTAGTAAGTTGTTTTATATGTCATTTCGCGCTCCGTCGTCCTAATTACTTTTGAAAAAATTATCAAAAAATTTAAAATCTATTATACAGCAGCCAATTCAATTATAAACTTTTTAATTATGTCAATTTAGTCATATACCTCCTAACGAATTACCAATATAATCTTTTCGGCTAATTTTCACTGAAAATCACTAACGCGAAGATCCAATCAGTACCGGACATCCTACGTGGTGTCGCCGACTCTAACGTAGATAATTTCATAAAAATATTTTTTTATTGATTATTTTATTTTATTTTATTTTATTCTTCAATTTATCTGCGAGGGTCACCGACACCTGAGTGAGGCCCGCAAACCCCTCACTGGCCGCAGGCGAGGGGCCGTCGCGAGCCCTTGCTGTGGCCGGCAAGGGCCGCGACCCTTGCTCACACCTGGCGGGGACTTGGTTCATAACTTATTCCTGAGTTACTAAGTTGTCATATATGAAATAAGTATGGATTTCTCTATCTAAAATCAGGATCGCCTATGGGCAATTATTAACTAGAAACATATAAGAAAAGAACTACTAATATATCTTGATACATAGTCATTAATAAACTTTCTATACATGATAAATTCATTAAAAAAAAAAGGAGCAAAAAGAAAAGGGAAGATGAAGACAATGAAAATCTCTCTCTCTCTCTCTCTCTCTCTCTCTTCAAGCATTGCAGAGAGTTTGACAATGGTGACATGCCACTGCAGTTGCAGAGCACCCACCATTTCTCATCTTCTTCCTTCCCACCCTCCAAGCTCCAAACCCCTGCATCCCCACCCTCAGACCCTGAACCCACCACCGCCACCACCCTCCTCCGTTTCGCGGGCCAAGAACCCCTCTAGCAGGCGGCTCTTCCTCCTCGCCGCCGCCGCCGCCGCCGCCAGCGGCGCGGCCAGCGCCCTCCATTGCCGCGCTCTGGAGGGGTTCGACGCCGTGAGCCCCGAAGAACGAGGGGCGAGCGCCGCCAAGTCCCGGAGGATCGCGGAGGCGGTGGGGCTGCTGGAGAAAGGGCGAGAATTGCAGGCTCAGGGCGATTTTGGCAAGGCCCTCTTCTACTTCACTCAGGTGCGTCCGCCTTCTTATTTGTTGAATCCCGCAGCTTTTGCTCCTGTTAGTGTTGGGAACTTAGCTGAAATGGGTGTTGCCAGGGCGTTGAGGTATGGTGAAGTTGAATATCACGCGCTCGAGCTTTCAGAGCAGTTGGTAACGGTGTTACGTGATTTTTGAATCTCGATATTCGCCTGGGTCCTTGATTTGCTCCTGCGAAATTCCAAACTGGGTAGTTCATTGAAAAGGACCTGCTTTTCTAGCTTGTGAGTGGTGTTATTGATTGGATTCTGAGTAGTTGATTGAGTGTATATCAGTGAAAGACGAACTCGATCCAATTGTCGTCATTTAGATATCCTTGATACTTCTATGTTATCCTTGACTATTTGTGAAACGTCGACTGTCCTGGAGTCATCTTTGTTTAAGTAGGTCGCTGGACCGATTACGCGGAAGTACTGCTCCTGTCACAAGAATCTTCTGAAATTTCGCGTATGTGAAATTAAACTTCGTACTAGGTTAAGTGGATGGAAATGATACGTACATATAATCTGTATGAGAAGGTATTATTAGGGAAGACTGAACTGTTATCAATGTGAGCCGGTGATATCTGTGACTCCCTTCATCCCTCAATGCAGGAGCCTCATGCATTGGCCTGCTCTAGTTTTTATTTTAGACCATGGTCTTGATATCTAGTCGACATTTTGTTTGTACTTGAAATTGCCAAAACATTTGAAGTTCCTAATTTGACTTTGTTTTTCCATCTAATTCAAGGTGATCGAAGGTTATAAAGACTTTGCATTATCAGAATATGCAAGAGTCGGAAGGGCGTTAGCGTTGTATGAGGTTGGCGACAGGGAAGAAGCTATTGCAGAGATGGAGGATGTTTCCGTGTCATTGAAGGGATATCCAGGTACTTGTGAGATATTTACATTGCTGCAATCCTTGAGAAATGAAAAGTTTTATGTTTCCATAGGGATAATGTTTTGTAATGTATGTACAGAAGTCCATGCAGCTCTTGCAGCAGCCTTATACGTGGATAAGCATGCCCTCTTGCTTGCTGAAAACCAGTTCACAATTGCAACCCTACTGGATCCCCACTACACAGATCTTTCGTATGTAAAAGAGACGAAGCACTGGCCTCCAAGTTTAGTCAGTTCATTACAGCAATTCATCACACTTACATAAAGATATAATTATCACGTTTCCTACGCAGCTGATCAGCAAGAACTGATTTGCAATGTCATATACATGTTTATATCTTATTCTTTGTGAACCTGTATGTAATCCAATTCACCGAGAGAAAGTTAGGCTGATCTGTAGAGTTTATGACTGAGATGGATCATTGTACTCTTCGATAAGCTTTGCTGCAAAATGGTGCGTGAAGATTTTTCTACCCCTGCTATCTGTGCTAAAATCCTTTTGCCTTTGTGCTTTGCGAGGTTATGAAGAATTGCACTTGTCTTTGCCTCCAAGGACGAACTGCATTTTGATTGTTGCTGCTATTTTTGAGTTGTAGATGTCTGTGTTGTTGATTCATATATGCTTGTTCACCATCAATTTTTTTTATACTTTCTTGTCTGTTAACGAATGACCTTTTTGATGTACTGACTCTGATTATCAGGGGGGAAAAAAAATATCAGCACGCCTGTTTGGCTGCACTACCCCAGAGAATTTGTCTCTACCTCTAATAATAATGCAGAGAAGAAAAACAATCGACATGACTATCTTTGAAGATTGGGGCGTTTTCATTGTCACAAGCTGATGGAAAGCTTGATAAAAAGAGAATAAGAAAGAAGAATTGCATTGCTTTCTCATGTCAATGCTATACAATCAAGACAAATCAATCGGGATAAATCGGAGCAACAGTATCTTCAACATTCATTAGCATTAGAATGGAGAGAAGCATTCATGGGATGGCTAGAGTAAACCTAGAGAATGCCGAATTTGTCATTCTAACCATCTTCAGGCACACTTTGTCAAGTGCTTATGTCAACTTACTGTTTGGGCTTTGGGAAAGCAATAATTGGGCGATAAATCATGGCAACAACATGCTACACCATTCCCTTGAATTAGTTTACTGTAGTTCTAACTTTAAAGCAAGTGCGATATACTTTGACCCTCGGACTTTTGTCACCCATTTCCAGAACCACGCGCAGAAGCATCAGCAAAATCAGTAGTTTTGTCTGATGCACAATTTGGATATCTTATCATGTGAGGATGGCACGAGGAAAGCATCCTTTCCATAATTTCGTCATGGTCTCATTGAGAGACCTACTCTTTTGCACTCATGGAAATATATCCCTGACAATCCTTTTCGGTGCTATATCCTATTTTATGGGGTACTTGCTCTCGACCGCATATCCAGCATGTAAGATGTATTAACCTTTTGCTCTTGTCAAGAATGCTCGAACTTGAGATGCTTGCTTTTTGACCCTACTCCTCGTGTGTGATTATTATTGTTGTTATCAGTGTTATTATGTTCCCCATAAGGATTGTTGACTTTTTGCCATTACTTAAAACGTGCTTTTGGAGCTGCAAAATTTCCTCCTGTTTTGCCTTTCGTGCAAGAAACAGGGGGCTCTTTTACCTGCCCAGTTTATAGCATAGATAACAATCACGCTCAAAGGGGATGCCCATACACTCAACAGTCATAATGACATGTACCTACTATGATTGTTTAATTCTTGATTGCGTGTTTTTGTTTGCGGGTCCTTTTCTTTTTTAGTGTCGTACCTACCAGGATTCTCTTTCTAGATGGACTTCACATCAAAGATTATGCACGCGTGAGGGTTATATGAAGTCTGTCTTTCTGGTAAAAATTGGTTTTCATGTTGGTACCAATCACACAAGGTGCATGCATGCCTTTATCGAGTCATCTTGATTATATGTTTTGTTATGTTTAAACGAGTTGCTTGATGCTACTGTTTGGGGATGTAGGAGAAGTCTTCAAAGTTCTTGGTTTGAATTTGTTCTTTCCACGGAGTTTGGTAGCTGCCTGCTCGTGACTTGTAGTCTCCTTTTTAACTACGCAAACTGACCTATCTGTATCTGTTTGCGAAGAACTAAAGAGCAGAGCATTTGTAGATTAGCTTATATCAGCAAGAACTTGGGCAAGATTCGTAAAGCGAACAAGATGATACTATTTTTTTTTTTTATAGAGAGCATTGAATGGTTAAGCTATAGTTCGGGATATTCGGATAAGAGTACTCTGGCCAATTTAGACTTTCTCAATTGGGAAAGGTTCTGATTTCTGCCTTGATCAACTTACTTAACCAAAAGTGAATGTTTCAATAGCACTATATGTTGGTAGTTTGTTTGTAAAACAAACAAACGACTTGCATTGTCCCACATCAAAAGGATGTGAGTGTGCACGTGGATGAGATTTGGCACTTATTAACGATCATTTTTATTTATTTATTAAATTTCGAATTTATTGTTATAAAATAACTGTTGAAATAGTGTGACTGTTCGCAATAGAGTGGCAGTTAATTTTTAATAATTTAATTTAGAATTTATAATTTTTTGCCTAACGGTTATTAGACGCTTTTACAACATTTGGAAGGTTGTGTCTATTCAGACATAACTTCTTAACCTTAGAAAAGTCGTGTCTGTTCGTACATAACTTCTCCACATTCAAAAGGTTGTATTTGTTCAACGTATAAATATTTCAACGTTTTTGTTCATTAAGAACAACAATTTCTCATTTCTTCCAAGAGATGTACAGTCTTCTTTTCTAATTGTTTCTTTTGAGAGACCCTGGAGAAATACCAGAATTGCTATCTAGTATTCTCATTAAGACTTTATTGTATCCTGGAGGATTTTTGCCGGTAACCATTAGCAACGTTGTGGGGCAAATAATTCCTTAAAAAAATTGATATCATGCCTTAAAGTCCGACTTCATTGTTCTTCCCGATTTACGTTGATAGTTTCCCAACACTATACTACTGTTTTCTTTCTTTTCTTTTGGTTTGTACTTGCAGTATTGAAAGAAGGGGTATGGACAACATCCCGTTGCACTAGATTCCGTGTTGAAAATTCATTATACCCCAAATTCTGTCAAAGTCACATGACGTGCTCTCCACTGTTGCGATGTTGACTGAATAAACCTAATGGGCATGCCTCGACGATTTTTATGCTTGTATTCCCAAATGGGCTCTGCTTGAACCAGTGGTGAATTCCACTTGTTGCAAGTACCAGTCCCAATTTCACATCAGAGAGCTACTTTAGGACATAACGTTTCTGGGGAAGTCAACAACAGTTGAACTTAGCCTGCTTGCTTTTTGACCCTTGTTCCCAAAGGAAGGTCGGTTCTTTGTCCTTGAAGCATGAGTGCGCTTTGCTGTTGCTCCTGCACTAAAGTCTTTCATGTACGAGAAATTAGGACTGCCGCCTACTGGTTCATTTTATGGGCCGAAAACCTGGACCGCAATTTTAGAAAAACCTCCCGTTTTTTGTATGCTTCACTGATATTTTGGTTCAGTTTTCGCACATCAAGCTAAGCCGACCTCTCCAACTCGAACTCGGTAATAGACCAGCGACCATAATTGGGACTAAGAAGCTTGCGATAATTTGCCTTCTCATGACCCGAGCACAATCGTCTCTTAAGTTCGTGTTGTTTGTGTCTCTTTGTTGGTACAGAATATCAGTTCTTGAAGAAAACTTTTGATGTTGGTCTTTGATTTATCAATGAACATATGTTGGTCTTTAATCTAGTCTTTCTTTGGTGTCTTTTCTGCAAGGTTGAGTGTAGGTAAAGTGCATTCTTGATCATGTATTGAATGACCGGCCAAAATTTCTACTTTTGCTCAAAGCATCTAATTTTAAAACTGATTTATTGTATCCATTAGCAATGGATGGAAAACATTTGTACAGATAACTCATGTTTCTTCCTCTAAAGCATGTTAGATTACGTGCACTTATGTTAATATCATAAGATGGGCGTGCTAGCAATTTGAACTCGACGAGCAGGCCAACAACCTTGTGAAGTAGTCGCATTAGGAGATTGCTGAATGAGCTTAGCTACAGAGGAGGTTCATGAAAAAGCACTCCTTACTTCTCCCTTTTCTCTTCTGTGCCTATACACTTGCTGGATTTTTCATAATGCAAAGTGACTTAGCGTTCTCTGAAAATCTTGAGCATAGGACATTAAGGAACTGAGGTTATTCTCTTTCTTCTTCTTCTTCTGGCTTGGCCTTGTTTGGCCATCCTCTGACTAAATGATATCTAAATGTGGAGACACCTTAGTCTCTCTTATACTAGAAATGACTGAGCCTGATCAGCTATCCCTGAAATTTCACACCTGTTTCCAATAGGAGCTTCAGCTAGTCCTGTTGATTTTCTGAATAGTTCCTACAAAGACCCAACTTTTTGCAAGTCCAACGTTGCATCCAGAATATAATGAAAAACAGTTGTTTTCTTTGAAATCTTATTGGAGTTGATGAGACATAATTGATATTTAAATAGGGGATGATGTTACATGAAATATAGACAATACCAGTAAGGGGAGTGGGTAATGGCAAATCATAATCAAGATCCATATAGGCATCAAATCAGACATCCCAATCAAGTCCCAGTATACAACTACTCATGCTTTGATTCCCCTTTTTTTTTTCTGTGGTATATATGTTTTGTTTTGCTTTAATTTTTTTTTTCTCCCAGGACTAAATAGATGATCCAAGCATTTTCAGCAGCGTCCTGGCCTTTGTCTTGGTCCTACCACTACACTGGCTTTGTAGAAGAAACAGCAGCTGTGTCAAAACTCCTGCACCGATTGCCTCTTCTCGTGCCAATGATGAATCGCGACATATGATCATAAGCGAATTGACCGCGCTCTCGCTCCCTTCATGACTTGATGCTCCAAAGACCATCCTGACAAGAGAGGATACACCGTTTGGGTTATTGAGAAATGCCTGTTTCGCCGGGCCATTCCCTTGAAGCAGCCGCTCTATCGTGGACACCGCTAGTGGTGAGAAGCATCTTTCGCGTCTCTCATTTTCAGCGGACAGAGTTGAAATGTGGGCGACCAGTCCATCCACCGCACCTTCTCTCACCAGATTCCACCCATTCGACTGTAGGGAACATAACGACCATATCGCCCTGACCGCCGCCTCGGAAACCTTGGAGTTTTCGGGAAGGAGGAGAATTATTTGACCAAGGAAATTTCGGTTTTGGCCGAGAACAGCACAGAGATCTTCCATTTCTGAAGATGATGAGATTGTATCAACAAGTTGGCAAATGCTGAGCTTGATACTATTTGTGCCTTGTTTGAACAAATTCACCAATGATGCTTGTTTAGAGTCTTCCTTGAGTATGTCCAGTGACTTCACTCCTCCATTTGCCAGCAATTGCAGGGTACAAGCCAGTGCTTGTTCTAGGAACTCTACATGATCAAGAGA